TGTTTTTCAAAGAAGAGGGTCCTATATACAATTAAAACTTGTTTCTGGTAAACCTCATTCCAGGAAGGATGAGCTTTTAACAAAAGGCCTTTGACAGCTGCAGGCTATTTCATTTTTTTTAATGCCGAATGAAAAATCAATACATTTTTCTGGGTTATACATATTCAGAACAGGCCTGATATTTCCATTAGAATGGAAAGTGGGTGTCTGTGCACATCTCGCCTGTCAGAGCTGCACCACCGCATTTTCCAAGCCACTGCTAAATATTTCAAACCTGATTTGATTGTGGTTCATGACAGCTAATGTTTCTCAGCTCTTGAGCCTGCCGACAGGCAAACGCACTCCCCCCAACCCCGCTCCCCCCAAAGAAAAAGGAAAGAACAATTTCATTCTTCGGGGATCACAGATTGGTGCATTATTTAAGTAACATGTTCGTGTGAGAGCGTTGGGTACCGACACCCTGATTCTTAGGAGAATTTCCAAATTTCTATCACATCTAGGCACCGTGGGGGCTTTGTCAGGTTTGAATTAATCTACATTATCCTGTTAAGAGTGAGGAACAGAGGGACTAGTCTTAATCATTGATTGACTCCCCTTTCTTTCAAGCCTGTAAGCGATTTGTAAAGTACCCTCAATGGACACGTCACTCGGCCCCCGTCATTTGGGGGAGCAGTACCTTTTTTTTTTTTAACAACTAGAACATTTTCATGAGTGACAATTTGGGGAGCGTATGTTGTGGGTGGAATGCTGACTTTGTGATGATCCCACTTCTATTTTTGGCTCCTGCCTTGTGCTCCTTCCACACACCAATTTCCAGGTTGTTCATAAAATGGTTACAAATCCCTACGGGGTTGCCAGTTGGCACATGCACCTCCTTTGGGAGCAGACTTCACCACAAATGGGGGAGTCATACTGTCACCTTTACCAAGATGCTGACTATGAGGTGTGTGAAGAGAACAGTTTGCATTTGTGGTGAGCAAAACCGCCTCGATTGAAGGGGGATTTTCTCGGACGATGGTCTCATCCTCCTGAAAAGTGAAACCGCCTTGGGAATCTCCCCCTTCTAGAATATACTCATCTGTTGGGATTCTTCCACTGGAGGGCTCTGCCTTTACTGTGAGTGACAGGAGAAGGCCAGGTTTGGACTAGCCCTAGGAAGTGCTGCTTGGGAGTTGTAAGGAGGAGGCTGGGAGGGAAATAGATTTTTAGAGGCCTCAGTCACGGTTCTACATGGAAGTGAAGGCAGAAGGGACCTGGAGGCCTCTCTATTTTTTAAGATTTGCTTCCATTTCCTTTTCACATGAAAATATGTACAGTGGGGAGTGGGTGCCCTCACTTGGGGGCTACATGGGGCACAGGCTTCCCAGTGGGCCTCTGCGGTGTCTTAGAGGCACCTTCTCTGGTGCCTAAAAGAGACCTGTCCAGGACACGGGGTGCTCTGGGCCTGCTGCCTCCTGCCAAGAACCAGGTGACACTGAGGAGTAGTCACCCAGGTCCTGGCCACACCCTTGAGAAAGCATTCCTGGGCTGCTCTGATTGGGGTCTGAAATATTATGAAATGCTTCCATCTTCCAGAGAAGACGGTTTTGGTGTGTCTGTTTCAACCTTGAAAATGGTCCCGTGGCTATTGTGTGTTCGGAGTGAAAGCCTCAGTCCAAGTCCTCACTTGTTCCCACCATCTGCCTGAACCTGATGTTTCAGGGGTGGAAACGTGCAGCTTCTGTAGTGACGCCAACCAGTGGTCACTGACTTCACGCGGGGAAAATGCAATCAGTGGCCTGTGGGGAAAAACTTCCCCTCCATTCTGGGTCTGTCAGCACATATGTATCCAACAGATCCCTAAAAGGAACAAGGGCTACATGACAGCCCCGGGAGTTGACGTATAAATGCAGCTCTCTGCAGAGTGGTTGCCGATCCGCCCTGCATCCCACGTTTCCAGGGACAGGACCCCATGCCTTTTCTTTGGGTGCCTGAGACCTGGCTCTTGGTGAGGGGCCTGGCTTTACACTTTGGGGGACCAGTGAAAACACACCCTGTCTGCAAAGCATTGTGGGCCTGAGCTGTCTGGACAAATTCGTAGTTTGTATCCCTGCTTTTTAATCATTTCTCTACCTTTATTGGTATTCAGAGCTCACAGTTTTCCGGTTACCGTCAGCCTGGGCTTTCATCCATTTTAAAGAGCCTTTTTTCCTTCTCGTTGTTGATGATGATGGTATAAAGACAGATGGTGTAACTGCTTATGAATGTCCTATTTTATTTCTCCAGGACCAGACAGTTCACTTGGAGACGTAGATTATTTCCACATGCGCAGGTTAGGCGGCCCAGACTTGCCTGCCTCCTGCAGCCAGCTGCCCTCCCGGCCTTGCCATGCGGAGGGCGACACCTGTAGGTGCCAGGTGGAACTGCAGGGAAGCTCTGACTTGGCTGAATGGGACCTGGTTTTTAGCTGGGTTGAGGGACACCGACTGATTCCCTGTAGAAGGAGCCTGCTTGTCCAGAAGTTTCTTAATCATTTTTTCTTCCACCACACATGTAATAACAGTCTTTGAGTGAATGAGTCACAAATGATAACAGTCAATCCAGGAACCTTAGAAGAAGAAGAAGAAGAAGGAGAGAGAGAGAGAGAGAGAGAGAGAGAGAGAGAAGCAAAATCAGCTCCTGAAATAACCTCTTTAGTTTTTTTCCTCTCATTGGAACATGGCTGCCTTCATTTTCTGCTCACAGTAGGGCAGCAAGAGGAGACAGCACAGGCCCAGGTGGGCCTGCAAACGCTGGCTCCAGGAGTGCTCGCCAAGTGCCACCCGGTCTCCTTGCCCTTGCTTCAAAGATCTGTTCATTCTTTACAGTCTCTGTCTTTGGATAGATTCATCCTGGGGTCAGTGCCAGGTGACAGTGAGGTTTTAACCCTGCTCCAGCAACTGAAGGCCACATAATGCGCAGGAGCAAGGCGCTGGACTTGGAGATTGACTGCCCAATAAGTAAACTCCTTCCCTCCTCTGCTGAGAAGCGCCTCCAGACATTGTCACCACATCAGGGCGTTGTCAGTTTGCAGATGTGAGACTTTCCAGCTAAGGTGATACTGTGTGTGTTCTAGAGGGGTGAGACCACCAAGCCATCTCTTTGCCTAATCAAATTTGATCGATGTATCCATACTACAGATTCTGTGTACCACAGCATGTATTGGGACAAATGAGTATATTTTGAGACCTAACTAAATTTGGGTAGACCCAATTTAATGATATTGCTTAACTGAAGAGCTACTTAAAGATGCATTTTATAATTATAGATTTGAATTGTTTTGTCAAAAGCCTAAAAAATGTGCATGAAACATCTTGCCCAGACATCTTTGAGATGGTGCAGGTACCATGCCTGGTAACTTTCTTGCTGTTACTCTACTAACACCTACATGTTTTTTCTACTGAATGATGTATGATGTTACATAGGACTGTATATATGATTAACTTCAAGCCACCATTGTATGATTTTTCTCTGAACTAAAAGTAAGGTTAAGAGGCTGGATTTTAACTTCACTATGAATGAGACAAAAACAGAGACATAGAAATCACATGTGGAACCCTGAATTGGAGTTGAAAATGAGCAGTGGCTTATTTCATCTGTATTTGCCACAACTGCCTCACAAACCCCTTACTATTAGTAATAAAGGAAGAACATTCCCTGATCCCTTGTTCATGTTCCCAGTCATTGGACCTCCATCATCTTTCTGGAAGAATTAGGAAAATATGATTCTAAAATGATGCTTTCTTCTTTGATTGTTTTAGAAACCCTTTGAGGTCAATTGACTTTTACCTCTTTTACTTCACTTTGTGGGATAAAATTCAGAGGCAGTATTAAGGAGGGTCAGAGGGTGTAACACCTATGTTATTTAAAAGTGGAGCTGGAATTGGAGAGCTCTGTGGTGGAATCAGCCAGACTCTCATGTAGGGTTCCCTGTTCCTAATGGGTCTCGTCTGGTGCCAGCCTGGGTTGATAGAGAGGGCACCTCTGCTCTGTACCGGAGAGGTGTGCTCTTCAGAGTCTCCCGATAATCTCATCAATATGAAAATGGTTTTTCACCTTGGTTTGTCTGCTTTCTCCATTCATCTAGCCCATTCTTACTGAATACAGGATTTAGATGATGATCCATGGGGCCAGGAGAACATAGAGAAGTGTCTCACTTTCTTTTCCTCAGCATCTAAAGAATCTTTTCTTCTTCCCCACTTGGGATGATGGCATTTTACTTCATAATTAACCTGGTTTTGAAAATGGCCATTCTTCTACCTTTGCTTTAACACTGTGATGAGTCAACGAGGCATTTCTTGGATTAGCTTTAAGCCAGTAATGCGGAAAGAGTGGAATGATTTCAAAAGGAGAGTGTGTGAGTTTGTTACAGACTTTTATCCCTTTTCCTCTCCTCACTGACCACGGCATGCCCACAGATGCCATTAGGATTTCTAGAAACCAAACATTGATATTCTGTGACTCTTCAGAACCTGAACAACTGCAAAAAAAAAAAAAAAAATTCCCATCACAGTCAGGCACTGCCATACCCATGGCCCATGAAAGGCCCCATGAGTTGGCCTGGTCTAGTCCAATACCAGGATGTTCTGGGGATGGAGGTAGGTAAAGTGAATAGTTTTAAGTTTGGGGTTTTTTTCCATTTTCAAGTGTAGCCTACTTGCATATGACTTCAGGGCCTGAGCTGGAGTTACTGCATCAACATGGTCAGTGTTTCAATTGGAAACTCTCAAGTGAGGCATCCAGAATCTCTGAAAATACCTAGTGTCCATGCCTGGAGCAAACCACAGCCTCATACCAACTGCATCCCCAGGCCCCAGTAAATCCTTAGCAAGGTTGTCCTCTGAGGGGCCCTTGGGAAGAGGATAAGGACAGAAGCATTGGCTTGGTGTTCTATAGTTGGCAGCTCCTTGGAATGGGGCCTGAGTCCTTCCTCTTCTTTCCGTGTTTGAATCCTTGACGGTTTTGTTTTTCTCCTTTTTCAGAAGAAGCCATTGAAGATGTTGAAGGACCCAGTGAAACGGCTGCTGATCCAGAGGAGCTTGCTAAAGACCAAGAGAGTGGAGGCGAGAAGGACCAGAACAAGTGGACAGGTAGCACGTGCGGCTGCCCTTTGGCCTCTGGGATTCCGCCCGCAGAAGCACGGGGCTGTGGGGGAATGGGTGCATCTTTATGTCCCGGGGAAAACCATGTTGGCTATGGAAGAGAGGAGGGGGACTTCGTTTTGCTTTTTAGAGTGGTCACTTTCAGTCCCCTTTATTAAATTATATTAAAGAATTTTAAAGTTTTTAAATGTCTGGGGGGATGCAGCAGAGGTTGTTGAGTGGCACTTGATCTGGTCACCCCCATTCTCAGCCTCCGGGTTCTCTGAGGGAGTCGGCAGTGAAGGCTGGCCTTTGCCTGGACACAGCCTACAGGCTCTTGGTGTCCGTCCCCAGGGCCAGCACCCGCATGCTGGAGTCCCACCTCAGGGGAGACAGGCAGTGCAGCCAGGCAGGACATCTGACCAAAAGCAGAAGAAACTGAAGAAGCCAGGACAGGAAGTGCTATTTCTGGAAAAACTGGTGCTGCGAGAGGAGGAACAGCCATTTCTCAGGATGATAAGATTTCGGCATTGAGGGAAGAAAGAGCTGAGACTATGAAGAAAAGCTCAGGTTTTTCAAGAAGGAGCGAAGTCATTTTTGAGAAGACTTACTGGACAGATACGTCTCCCAGAAGCCATTGCGATAATAAAAGCAAATGATAACACAAGCTACAATTATTTTACTTGGTCAGCCCGATTCTCACTACCATTGTTGTTATTATAATACCTTGATTTTTTTTTTTTGGAGAACATATTTACCTTTTAGAGTCTATTGGTTGGGCTTTTGTTACTTTTCTCGGCAAAACTGTTCTTAAATCATGCTCGGTGCAGCCTTCACTATTTAAACAAGATACAGAATCTTGGAGAGAGGCCAGGGGAGGGCAGTGAAAGTGACTGAAGGCTGAGAAATATTGCCTCTGAGAAGAGGCTAAAGAAACTGGGGCCATTCCGCTTAGGAAAGAAAAATCCAAGAGGCAGTGGAATGACTTCCAAATATCAGAAGGGATCCCGCAGATGAGGCCACAAATGCTGTCCTGTGTTTCCTGGGAGATAGGAACTGGTCATCATGGGGGCTGAGTGAATGGACGGAGCGCTGGCTGGGCAGACTTTTACCATCCATGCTGCTCAGCGCCTATTTCAACCTACGCCCGGAGGAGTCCCAGGGCAGGAGGACGGGATGCACATCTGTGCCCAAAGACCCCTGGTTAGGAGAGCTTCCTCCTGCATGCTTTGCCTGGACCAAGATCCTAGTTTCTGCTGCAGTATTCGGGGGAGATCTAACACGTGGTTCCAATGGCAATCAGACATGTCTATCTACAGGAGGCAAGGGAGAGGATTTCACTAACATTGTTTGAAGACTGGGTGACCTTCTGGGCCATCTGTTTGTCATCACGATTTGGATGCTTGCTTTCTAATCCAGACTCTGCCACTTCCTAGCTGTGTGACCTTGCTTAAGGTCCCTTAACCTTGCTGTGCCTGTTTCTTCACTTGAGGTGGGATTTTAAGAAGTACCCATGATATAGAAGTGCCGTGAGGATTATTGGAATGTGGGGAGGTTAGACCAGTACCCAGCATGGAGTAAGCTGTCTAAGGAGTTTGTTTGTTTAATCATTTAGTTAAATAAGATGAGGAAAGGTAGTGGCAGTTTCTCATAGGGGTTCTCCCATTGGAATGTCTGGTAGCATGTGGCTTCTGGGAGTTTCATTGAGAAGCTGGCAGGAGCAACATATACGCAAGGATTTAGTGGGATCATGCTAATAGTATTTGGTATGCAGATGACACTAGGAAAACAATAAAAAGTGGTCCTGCTTGCAGAGCTCCTACTGGGTGCAACAGCCTGAGCCAGCAACTTTGTATACTTAGAACCAGTGTAGGACAGGCTTTGTTGAGGGCCCTTCAATTTTTTTTTTTTTTAGTTATGGATGGACAAAATATATTTATTTATTTATTTATTTTTATGTGGTGCTGAGGATCGAACCCAGTGCTTCACACACGCAAGGCAGCTGTAGCCCCAGCCCTCAATTAAATCTTGTTCACATGTTTATAATTCCATAGAAGCATGTCTTCATGCTCCTGTGCCATGGACAAGCTAGGCCATTGGGATACTCTAAAAAGATGCAAAATGAGCATCATAGAAATGAATGTCCTTGATAAGGCCCCACTCTCTCATGCATTCATTCAGGCGACAGGTCAACTTAATCGTTACCTCCAAAAGACAGAACAAATATGAATGAATGAATAACTCAGAGGTGCACCTTGCCAGATGCACAGTAGAAGAGAGAGAAGGGAAAATTCTTTCCCGACTCCTGCAAATGATCCTCTTTTGACCCGAAGCATAATTTTGTCTATAGCGTCTGAGTGTGTAATGACAGGCTTTATTAAGGTACTTGGGCCAATTTGATCTCAGAATCGATATAGGTGCCAGCAACTCTTCTGAGCTTTCTTTTGGATCCTTAGTATTTTATATATAAAAAAAAAAAATCTACGTTTGTTCCATTTACTCCCTAAATTGAGCTGTTCCTACCTGATTAAATGTGTCGGGGAGCACTTCCTCCTGGCAAATAAATAAATAGTGATTTCACAATTTGTTCTGTTGATTAGTGGCTGCTCGTGATGCAGATTAATAATATTTCAAATAGGTCTGGATAATTGGCATTTTCTCAGCTATTGATTATGTAGTTTTGGGGGATTGTTCAGAAATGGATAATCTTTATTAAAAATTTTTAGTTATTTATTTTTGTATTGAAGTAGGACTCTGGATTTCCTCTTTGGGTGCCCTTCTTCCATATTCTTTTACTTGGATGTGAGGTCTTTTTTTACCTTGGATGGCAGCGAGACAGGCAAGACAGTGATTTGAATCACAGCAGGGTCAATTCCATGATCAGTGACTGGGTCCCTACCCTAAACAGGGCACTAGACAGAGTTCCAGTGAACACAAATTCTAATCAGCAAGATTATAGGCCTCACCTTCAGGAACTCTGCCTGTCTTAAGAACAGGATTAATACAGGTCAGTGCTGTCCAACAGAACTTCCTGTGCCAATAGAAATGGTCTGCATCTGAGTGGAATAATATGGTAGCCATTGGCCACATGTGGCTATTGAGCACTTAAAGTGTGACTAGAACACCAAATTTTTAATTTTATTTAATTTTAATGAATTTGGATTTAAATAGCCACACATGTACAGCTATAGTTACTCAAAAGAACCAAACCTAACCCTGAACGGGGGCCTTGCAGGGATGATGTTGCAGGTATCATAAAGGCTGCGGTCAGTTCGGAACCTGTGCGAGGCCCGGTTAGAGGGCTTCGCTCCTGTCCTTCCTGGCAGGCAAGCCACAAAGGCGCTCGCGGGTGCTGCTTCCCACAGCCCTGGGGCCAGGGCCAGTTGCTTATCCCAGTGGGCTGTCATCTTCTGATGTGCCTTGGTGTGAGACAAAGTTGGGGAGCTCTGCTTCATATACATTACCTTGTTTGATTTCCGCCCTGAACCATGAACTCAATGTTATAAATAACCACCCTCTCACTCCTGCCATTTTGTAGACAAGAAAACAGCCCCGGAGATCTAGAGCAAGTTGCCCAAAGGTATACAAATGGGCTCGGGTTTGCATGTTGCTTTGCTGCTCACTTGATCTCAGACAGCTGAGGCTCTCACCAGTGGGCCCACGGTCTCTGATCATTTTCTCTAACTTTCCACTCTTGTTTTAGCATAAGGAGTTGCACGCTTCCAAGTTGTGAGCTGAGAGCAGGATAGGCAGCTCCCTGTGAGTTCATAGTGAACTGGGTTGGCAGCCAGCAATAGGCCCTGTAAAGAGCCAGTGTCCTGCTCAGTCTCAAAGCAGGTTAGCGATGTAGAAAGAACTGTGTGGATTTGGAGTCAGGGAACCACCAGATGACAAGTGAGCTTGGTGGAGGGACCTCGCCTCTAGAAGCCCTGGGTGTCTCATCTGTGAAATGTGGACAAGTGAGAGTCACCAGCCTCAGCCATCTGTGGGTTCCATGATGGTAAGCAGTGGCACATATACAAGCCCCTGTTAGACAAGGGTCACATCTAGTCAAGGCAAGTGCAAAGCTCTCTCATGGACAAATGTGGGGGGCGGGGGCACAGGAAGGTTCTTGGAAGCCAAGCCTCCTCCCTAATGCATAGCCATTTCCACTGTCCAACTTTGTGGTTTCTCTCTTGAAACATGAAAATGACCCCTTGTTGTCTTTACCAGAGTGAATTTCAATGTGTGTGTTCTAGATTAAAGAGCCCCCAGTGTCAACCACTGAACAATGATTAATGTAATGATTAGCCTATCAATCATTAATTGCTGTAAATTAAGTGATATACAATTAATGTGATGCTTTATCACCAATAATTAGGGGAAAAAATTGAACTCTTGGCAAAGAATCATAGCAAGATGGTTATTTAAATGCTGTAACTGCCATGGTTTGTAGCCACAGAGCACCATGGCTGGGTGTAGTTAAGGGAATTTGAGACGGGATGACTAGGGGTCTTGGTGCTTTAAAAAAGAGGGGGATGGGTGGAGCCCTAGCTCACCTTAAAATGACACCATGATAATGCTTCAGAAATCCCTGGTGTTTTTGTAAAACTTGCAATAGGAACTGTAGTCTGTTTTTTTCTGGAGGAAGGGCCTGAAGGGATTTTACTTTATTATTATATTTTTTAAATCCATGATGCTCACCTAGCACAGAGCAATTAGTGCAGCAGAGCGTCCCTGATTGGAATCCATAGAAGATCCCTATTACAGGCAGTATTAATGGGCTGGCGAGGTCCGGCGACTGTGAGGGGAAAGTGTGTTTATGGAACACGGTGCTGGCAGGCATGATTCCAATCGGGTTTGACATGTTTAACATAAATGTATAGTGTACGGCTCTTGCTGCATATGAATAATTCCTGCAGACCCGCTGCCTTTCTAATTACTGAGGTTGAAAAAAAGCAGGTCAGGCACATCCTGGTGGAAATCTATTACCAGCCCTCCCCTTACTCTCCCTGTTGTTTACAGCTTTG